AATGAAGACCAGGGTTACTCAACAGGAAGTTCAATTTTCTGGTAGCTGTCAATGGCTCTACCATCACTACGACATATGAAAATGTATTTCATAATAGGTATATGTTTGATTCAGTTCTTTTATTTTGGCTAACTGATTTCATGCCAGGGAAATACTACAGAATGTGCAAGTTTTTTTTTTTTTTTTTTTTTTTGTTTAGGGTTTTGGAGTTGGCTCTTTTTTTTTGGCTAGAGCTGGTATTTAGTGTTAGCATGCCTGGTTACCTCCCTGAGGATTAATTTATCAAACACTAAATAAAACATGTCTTCTGACTCTTTTCTTTTTCTTAATGTTTATTTTCCATGCCAATAGAGAGGTTACATTTTTTAAACAGAAAGTGGAGGGAAAGCAAAAAAAAGACTTAATAGGAGAAGAAAGATGCTGAAGAAATGAGGGATGAGGAGCCAGTCTATTGTGCACCAATCTATCACTTTCTCTTGGGAGAATAAGGAAATGACTTGTCTATAAAATTCTCATTAGACTAAAATAAGCACAAGTTTCTTCTGGAATCTAATTAGGCAATGTCAAATTGAGTAAAAAAGGGTTGTTTTTTAATGAACTCCTGAGGACACTGGCTGAGCTTTTGCACTGCTAAACTGTCTCTTACAGTCAATTTCCCTATCTTTATGGTACTGCTATATGGGTGGGTATCTGGGGAAGAAGAAAAAAGAGTCATTAATCAGAGTTCTATGGTTTGGAAAGACAAATGGCTTCCTGATCATCAGCTTGTCCACATGCCAATAGAAAAATCTGCTATAATTTGCCTCTTTTGTTATTCTAGTCCAATTCTCTGTGATGATGCTTGTTTTAGAATGAAATTGTTCTTTCAAATTAAATTGGCCAGGGCTTGGTTTATTACATTTGAAACAAAGGTGCCCAAGTGTGGCATGCACAATATTGAAACAAAGTAGCTAAATAATTATATTAGAAGTTATTTATTTTAGCTTTTTTTTTTTTTTTTTTTTTTTTTGTGCCAGAAGAACTAAATCTGGAGGATCACTTTGCCCTTAAGAGGTGACTGGAAAGCAATTGGCATTAGTTTCCACTGCATATGCAACAATTGACCAAGTTCAAAGTATTTGGTGGTTTTGTTAGATTCAGATAAGCAGCTTTAGGCTTGCATGTTTATCCAAGACTTATCTGAACTGTTTGGGTTGAAGGAGGTAATGGCAACAAAACCTACAACTAACTGAAAGTTAATATTTTACATTAATAAAACACCAGCTATTTTTAAAGAAAGGAGCAGGAAAGACTGAAAAATTAGGACACACTTCTTGACTGATATGAATCAATTTAACATTTTTAAAATTGGTGTAGACCACTAATATTTAATTTCCTTCCATATGTGGCATCCTAAAGGTTTCCCTTACGGGGTACATAAGTCAAGATCAAATTTACTTATTAATGTCAAATCTTTCACATACTCTTTAGAGTGTTCTCAGGCTTTTTGGGTGCCCTTCTTGAAAACTTCTGTAACCCTTTTAAAGTTTTAAGTAGGTATTCAGGTAAATAAGATAACATTTAAGTGATAGTCCCAATCTCTGAACTTTCTTGCTTTATTATTTTCTCCTGCTCTTCCTTTGAATGGTGGAATATTTCCAAAGAGTTTTTTTGGGGAAAAAAAAAAAAAAAAGCTTTAAAAGGTTTTCAGGAACTTCAAGTATATTCAGTCATACTCTGTTGTGGAACTTGACATAAGGGACTTTGCTGATGACTTTGAACACAAAATATTCAGTGACTTCTACTGAATATTCTACTTTTCAGTAGAATATTTCTATTCTACTTTTCAGGCCAAATCTGGTGGACCTTTAACCATGGATGAGCCAGAATGGCTTGCCTGAGCTGGCACATAGACTGAAGCAGCTTTCACTCAGATGAATTTAGGTGAGGCTCAGAAATTCCCATGCTGTGAGTAGGGAGACTAGAAAAGTCCAGCTATATGTTTGCAGGTGTCAGCTGAGAGATTTGTACATTGAAAGTGAGGTTCAGAAAACCTAGCTGGTGTGTGGGCTTTGTTTCTTTTTCGTTTTGAAGAGTGAGTAGTGGGTGTAGCTCTGGGGCATCCAAAGGGCAGTGTCAGGGCACACCTGTGGTCAGAGACAGGTTAAAGTGTCACCAAGAGTTTGTAAAACACTCCTTTCTTACACTTTTCAGCTTTGCCTGACATTCAGCCTTCCCCCATCTCTCCCCAAGGCTGCCTGTTATACTGGCTAACTCTCCCCTTCCTTCCTGCTGCTCCTTCTGCTGAGCATCTGCTGAAATCCAGTTCCCACCACGCCCCACACTGGTGTTGGACGGGCGCTGCTCTGTCTCCCTCATTCAGCAAGCTGGACATGCCAAAGCTCGAGAGCAGTCTTAGTAGCTCCCATGCTTCTGCCATCTTTTCCATTCTGGTTCCCATTTTTAAACTCCCCTTTAGGTGACTGCAGACTCTCCTTAGCATGGTTGCTTCTGGTGTGCCATCCCCTTGCTGCTTTCCACAGGGACAACGGCTGGTGATGCAGGGCAGAGGATTTTGTAGCATAGCTTGGGTGTGCACCTCCAGCACGAGCAGTGCTGACTGCATGAGTGCACCACCTTCATGCTTTGTTGACCAGACTAATCCTTGAGCTGAAAATTTCAGTTTAATATGCACATCTGTACATGCAGATTAGCCCAGGGTCATTAGCTTTCTTATAGAGGAAACATTTTACATTAAAGAACATAATTGCTGAGCAAATATGTAAGGTATTTTGCAGTTGCTACTTCCCAAACCAGCCCTTGATTCTTGATTCTGGTAAAATACACACACAGATATTTAACAACACAGCTCATTCCATGCTGAGTGTCCTGCACACTTGTAAACTGTTTCTCAGACTGGGACCAGTATGACCTGGGCTTCAGCAGCTTGGGGATGTTAATCACATTGAATAGGCTCTGCATTTATCAGGGTTTTCAGTGAGCAGTAAGTGAGACTGTTCTGCAAGACTAATTCAGTGTTTTTCAGAATGGAACTTCAAAATGCATAAGAGGACTACAGGGCTTCACACTCCTCTCTTGATGTGCTGTCCTGCATATGTGAGATGTCAGAGAACTGTATTTAATGCACAGAGAATCTGAACATTTCTTTATTTTTCAAAATAATTTCATAGGGACTTTACTACTTAAAAATATGACTCAGTTGTATACTTTGTGCCTTTCGATGTTTGTCAAAGATGAAATTATCAGAGCCAGCTTTGAGACTATTGATTGTTTCTTTTCAAAATATACCTGTTTCAGCTTAGGTAAGTGAAATGGCCACAGCACCTACAAATTTTTCCTATGTTGCTCTGTATTTAGCCTGGAAAAAGAATTTCTGATTACTGCAAAACCTGAAGTACAAATCTTCTGTTGTTCAGGAACTTAACTGGAGGCAGTTTACACATTTGCAAATGATCTTTATACATCATGATTCCTTTAAATTTTGTGTTGAATTCAAAATGATTTTAAAGTGATTTTAAGTTCCTGAGTACTTCAGAGCTCAAACCAAAACTCTTGAGTTTTCTTTTACAGTGGGCTCAAAGATTTACTGGTGTAGGGCTGATAAATTGCCTGTACTTTCAGAAGGACATAAAACTTATTCCAAAGCAGGACAGTGCACCCTACACAGCAGAGAAAGAGTAGTTGTTGAGGTAGGGTGTGGAAACAGAATGGTGCCATGGGCATTGTTTGACTGATTGTAGTTTTGTGGTTCTCCAGCTCTGTGTAAATGTCTGTGTTTCAAAGTCTTTGGCAAGATTCCTGTTGGTTTCATGGGCTCTTTGATCAAGCTAATTTTGAATAAAATATACTAGGAAAAAAACCCCTAAAAGCAATAAATGGAAAATGGGCATTTTTCCCACAGAATGGGGTATGTGTTATTTCCAAATTTTTTCTCAGAACCACTCTAGGTCTCCAAAGAATTATTTTTTAGTTGCAACTATTTGCATTAATAAACCATTATATTAATATTTAATATAAATATTAAATTTAATAATATAAATAATAATATAAATAATAATATAAATAATATTTAATATAAATATTATATTTCTACTTTATAAGTATTTTCTGGTTTTGCTTTTCTGGTGAGTTATTTCATTATTTTGTGTTCTTTTTTGGTTTTCTTTTTTTGTAGAATACCAGAAAATGGCAAAAGAGAAAACCAAAAAGGAAGAGAAACTAGTAGGAACATGTAATCAAACATGTGAAAATTAATGTTTGTTTTGGTGTTTGCTTTATTCCAAGTGGCTCCATGAAAATTCGTTTTGCACAAAACAAATGTGGGTTGATCGAGTGCACGGGCAAACAAACCTGTTTTCTGTTAACAAAGTGGTCATATAGCACACAAAGGCGAATAAAACCAAACTCCATGAGAATCCAAAATGTCTCCCCATGGAGATTCACCGTACACACATGAGAACTTTCAGTTCATGCTGATGATGATCCCTCCTGTCATGGATATGAAAAGGCATAAAGGAGAGGTAGCTGCCAGTGTCAGCTCATCCATGCTGAGCTGTGCTTGCTGAAGAGCACTCCCGAGGGCTTTGGCTAATGGAAGAAGATAGCATGGCTAAGCTAGATGATGAGTGCTTCTTCTTTCACCCTCTTTCCTCCCTCTATGTATTCCAGTGCTTAAGTAACTAAGTACTTCCTGAATGGACTGCAGAGCAAGTGCTGACATCCATTTTTAAGTGAATTGTCACTGATTTTGGTTTTTTTTGACCAGTCAGAGTTAGTAAGGAGTTTGGCCAGCTGGGCATCAGCAGCAGGTGTCTGGGGCAGTGCTGCCAGTCCTCCCAGGACATGATCCTTCTTTTTTATCCCAGCTCTCAGCTCTACCTCTTCTGTTAACCCAGGGGAGAGGGTGGGTTGCATTTAGGATGCTGCCCTGTGATCCTCAGCAGCAGCCTACCACAAGATCTTGTTCAGCTGAACTGATGGGCTTCTCTCTCATTCTCTAGATTGCAGTTTTGGAGGAAATACGTACAACAGCTCCATGAAATGGCACCTCCCCAGCAATCCCTGTGTTACGTACCAGTGCCAGGTAAGGATGTCATAAAAATCGTGCTAATTGAGTTGCAAGCTTTTCCCAGGAAATCCTGAGCCTTCATTTATCCAATCCAAATAACCTGAAATATTTTATGCTCAAAACACAATATGGACTTTGCATTTAAACTAATTTAAATCCACTCAGATGCAGCCAGCTATTCAAATATTCAAACCAAATATTCAGAAGTATAGGTTTTAAATGACTTGAGTACCCCAATACCCAAACTTTGCTGAAGGAGAGGTACACAGCCATGCCATTTCCTGCTGTCTTGACCTTGAAGTAAGTCCTCTTTTCTTCAGCATTCTAAGCCTTTTGTGCGATACAAATTATTTTAGTAATTGGACACTTCTGTGTGTATGTGTCCACGGGTTTTACCTTTCTTTAAGAAAAACCCACAACCAAACGTTTTTTCCTGCACTGTTAACACAATGGTATTTTTGGTAGCTTTGCTCTCTGCAACCATGAAATTTTCAAGAGTGTTGCTTGTCAGGCTCAAACCAAGAAATTATGTAGGTGATTTTAGCTTATGTCTGTAAATAGGTCTGCCATTTTTGCTGACAATTTGATCTGGTTTTAATAGTAACACTCAGGCAACTACTAAGAATTGTAGTTGGAAAGAGGAAATTATTAGTATGAAGAGCTTCTGCTAAGAGGAGAAGAGAGTTTCAAGGGTTTTCTTCTCTTTTTCTGTAATACCTCTGCTCTGTGACACCAACTCATTTTTGAAAATAAGTGCACTGAGGTGACTGAAGCTGGAGCAGTACTCTGTATCCTTGCACCTAATGAAAAGAAACTCACTACATGAATTTAGATATGTTGCATAGCTATGAAGATATGGTCAGTAAAGAAATGGTCAGTTCTTTACTGTCTGTTTCAGTGTCTAAATGCAAAACTGGGTGATCCTGTTTACCCTAGATACACACATTTAAAAATTTATTTTGCCTTGCCTCAAACAGCTGGAAGCAGAAAGAAGGGTAGCAGCTTTTATGCATTGACCCTCACACCCAGATTTGTTCAGGACACTTGAGTTCTCAAATAAGTACAGGAAATGTTAATTTACTAATACTTATCAGGCAAAATATCAAAGATAAGCGTCTCCCCTCTACAGAACAAGATGCTTTTATCTGCTTTCTAAGTCTATTTTCCTCCAGTAGGAGAGGGAGGAGAATGCCTTGTGTCTGGCCTGTTTTCACCAGAGCTGCATGGCAGATTACTGAGGTTAAGGATTCCTGATAAAGCAGGATTCCTTTCCCTAAGAGGATGCTTGGCTTTTTTACCTGATGCATTTTAAGGCAAATCCTGTGTCTGGAGTCAGGGAGACTGAAGTGGATCTTTTGACTGTGGATTAACCCAAATCCCGATACCAGCAGCAGGTACAGAAAGAAAAGAAGTTTTGAAACCCAGTGCTTTGTGGCATGGCTTTAATTCTACTGACAGCTAGTGACAGTAATTGTGAATTTTTACTTGTTAAACAAAAAGCCAGATTTACAAGTTAAAGTTTTATATACCAAATTTACAAGCTAAAGTTTTGTATACCAAATTTACAAGTTAAAAAAAGTAAACCACAACACTAACAATGAATGTGTCTAATCTGCTTCTTTTCCAGGAAGGAGTGATAGTAGAATCAGAAGTACAGTGTGTTGTTCATTGCAAAAACCCTTCCAAACTCAGGGGAATGTGTTGTCCTGTGTGTCCAGGTGAGATTTCATGGTTAAGATGCTGTTCTACTTGTGCAACTGTATTTCTAGTGATACCCATCATTACCTGGGAGGCTGCCTCTAACTTCCCTGTTATCTTTGAGAAATTACTAAAATGTGGGCTGGTGACTCACAATGAACAAAATGACACAAGATTTATTTTAATATGTTTTAATAGAGGACATGCAGACTACGGGACGCACAGGCAATATCCTGGGCTAATATTCATAGTTGTGTTTATGTCGTTTTTTAGAGGGTCTGTTAGATGGGTTTGCATGACTGATGACCAGGATTTTGTCAGGAGTGGAAGGATAACAGTAATCATAAAAAAGGAGATTAACTTTTTGAAGGGGAGAATGGGTTGCCTTTTTGAAGAACAGTGGCAAATTGCCGTGTTTTTTTTAGGTTAATTTGATTTTATCAGAGATTTTGAATGTAAGCACTGCTCTAGTTGTGATGTAATGTATTTGTTATATTTTGATTAGTTATAATATCTGCTAATATCTAATATAAACTCAGGGAGTAAGAATGAATTATTAAAAAGCAAACAGCCTAAAAATCTATTTAAAAGGCACATGTAATGGGAGACTTTTCCTAGCTTCGACTTCATTTTTGCAAATTTATTTGCTGTAGAAGGATGTTTTCTTCCCCCCACTCCTCCCCCTGCAAGACATTTAGGGTGTCTCAAGGATTTATTCAGGATTTTGAAGTGATTTGTTTTCATCTGAAGTGATTGTCTCTCTACAACAACCTGAGAGGAGGTTGTAGCAAGGTGGGGATTGGTTTCTTCTGCCAGGCAACCAGTCACAGGACACGAGGACACAGTCTCAAGCTGGGCCAGGGGAGGTTCAGTCTCCCCTGATGACAGCAGGAGGAATTTCAGCATGGAAAGGGTTGCTAGTCTTGTAATGGACTGTCCAGGTTGTTGGACTCACTATCCCTGAAGGTGTTTAAGAAATGACTGGATGTGGCACTTAGTGTCATGGTCTACTTGACTAGACCATAATCAGTCAAAGGTTGAACTTGATATCTTGGAAGTCTTTTCCAACAGAAAGAAAGGATGGTATGATTTACTTTTCACATTGCCTTACATGTTAGGGAGAAAGGGCAGCATTCTATCTTGAGCTAAACTTATTCAAATGCTGTTTTCCAGGTTGTGTATTTGAAGGGAGACTTTACAATGAAGGAGAAGAATTTAGGCCTGAAGGAAATAAATGTACCAAGTGCTCTTGTATTGTAAGTATTTGCCTTTTGGCATTGTATCTCCTTTTATGAACTTCAAAAGGCACATTATTATTGCCATAACAAAGCAAAAAATATAAGGAATCCAACACTATTATGTTTTTTTCTCTTGGAATTCAGGTCTCTGTTGAAGAATTTATGGCATTACTACATTGTATCACTCACATTTTGAGCTTATGATATTTACTTTGACCTTACACTGTATGCAGATGGAGCAGGTTTTTTGGGAGAGGGCTGATCTGTTGAATTAGTAGTGCCTTTTTTTTGTGATAGGATCCTGCAAGTGGAAACAGTAATCTTTTTGGCCTTCATCTATTGGTCAGCATTTATTAGATGCTTCCTTAAGCCAAACTTTGCCAAGGATTCCTTTTAGCTGTATGCAACAAGGGCCTTTGCTCTGAATTACTGAGTGAAAGAATGAGGGTAGCCTCCTGAGGCTGTCCTAGGTGGATTTTTGGCTTGACGCTTGATGAAAAGGTCATATCCTGGATTTTATTCTTGACTAGCAACAATATAGAGAGGAAGTAATAATTGCATCCTTTGGGTAACGAGTGCAGGCTTCTTTTTCACTTCCATTAAGTTAAAAGATAATGCTGTATGAGTTGGGGCAGATAACTTTGGCTTCCTTTCTGTAATCTGTGAGATGAGTAAAACACAAAGTTCAAACTACTGCTGTTGTTGCAGTTTGTGAGTCTGTTATCAGTAGAATATGTAAGGCTTTACATTTCAGTAGAATGCCAAGAAATTTGTCAGTACCAGATACAGTTGTCCTGTATCATGAAAATAAAATAAAAGAAGGGGGACAGAAAGATGGGCTTCAAATATTCATATATCTTTACACATATACACACATTTAATGAAGCTGTTGCTTTTACTTTTACTATTCTGTGGGGACAAATGCCCTGGTAATCTGCAAAATCAATTTACACTGAGTCATCACTTCTCCTGTGGAGATCAGGGTGCTCAGGTAATTTTTTTTTTTTCAAGTTTTAATCCTGTAATAATGAAAACATGCTGTCACATATGTCACAGTGATATTTGCCCTGGGCTCCAGCTCTGCTGAATGCCTTCAGACCCAGGCTGAGAACGCCCTCTGTACTTGGTAGGTCCCGCCCTCGCTTCAGCTTCAGCTGCAAAGCAGTATCTTTTCACTCTGGCTTTCCCTAGTTATGTTCCTCAGGGGAAAGCAGGTCTGTATGGTTGAGAAGTCTGTGGAGACATGCTTGAGTCTTTTTGGGTTCTGCTTTGCTCTTTCATAAGTACTGTACAGATATTGCCTATTGCCCAGTTATTGGTGTACCAACATCTCCTTGATCAACTTTCCTTTGTTCTCTGAATATCAAAAGCTCCTGTGCTGAGAAGAGCATTGGAGGTGAGAGATAATGAGGGAGAACAGTGTAAAGAAATAAAGGAATAAAGGGTCACAGCTAAGGGTCTAACCTTGAGAGTTACCAGTCTCAGCATCAACTATTGAGAGTAAGAAGTTTAATGCTACTTTACTATCCCTTCCAAGAAAGAGAGCATGATTATTTTGGATGTTAATACCATCTATATAAAATGTCCATCTTTCAGTCTGAATCTTTCTGACAGCTAAAGAAGTGCCATCTATGTGTAAGCCACTTCACTCTCTCTGCAGAGCCTTTTTTACTCTCTTGCCCGTTCCCCCCAGAACTGGAGCCTAGGCTAGTTCCTATGTGATTTAAATCTGAAGTAAATAAAGGAGGCATCCTCAGGCTGTGATAGCAGTTTGCTTCCTGCTTTGCATCCATTCCCTTTTGAGAATGGGTCCTCAGTGAATCTCTTATCTAAGCAGTTGGTGGATGGATGGATGGATGGATGGATGGATGGATGGATGGATGGACGGATGTCTTATTTGAAGATACCTATCCAGTCATGCAAAGTTATGGAAACAGGCTTGTGTGTGATGTGCTGTAATTTGTGCAGGCTTTAACAGATGGAGGGAAGCTCTTCAACCCAAGTTAGATTTCTTCTGGGATTTCAGTCTTTCATGGAAACTTAGCATAGGAAGTAGCACAAACTGGTATTTTGGGGATGGGTGTATAAGGTTTCCAGCTACTCTCACTTCAGGGTGAATTCTTCATTTTCTTGGGAGCAAGCTCTCCAAATAATTTAGGACAATTCTGGACTCCATAGGCCATCGCTGTCCCAGGGGTAGCTCAAACTTGGGACTGCAGAAAGCATTGAACAAGAAGAAAGTAAAGAGGGATGGCTGTGATTTGTTTTCCTGGAGAAATGTAGGGTTGATCTGCACTCACTAAATGTATTAAAATGAGAAATTATGTAAATATTTTTACTGTTGCACAATGATGCACCGAGAAGTAAGTACACATCTTCAGAACTGGACTGTGGGAACACATTTTGGGACACCACAGGTTTGTGGTATTATCAGCTCCAAATGGTGCCTACAAGATACTACCAAGGTCCCAAAGGATGTGAAATGGCTGTCATTTGTTTGTTTGTTTTTAACACATTGTTTGTGTAAATGAGGACAAAACTGGGATCTTGGGAGCTGGGAGTCCCCATCTTGGTGGAGCAGACTGGACAGTTGCAGGGCTTCCTATGTGTTCCACGGCTCTGAAGGGCAGAGAAAGCAACGTCATGGCTATACCTGGGCAATTTGCTCGGTCCTTACCTGCCGGGTGCCCAACTCATTGTTCTGTGGTTCCTCTTTAACACCACCTGTGGTCCTAGCTATTGTCTACTGAAAACCAGACCTAACCCACCAAACTCATTTCATGGAGGTCAGCGAAACAAGCCATTAACTAATAACTTTTGGGTTGTTACCGAGCCAGGCTGTGCTTGCGGCAGCGAGGTGGAGATGAAAGGCCCTGTATTCCATTACCGCTCTCCTAAGTGAGCTGCTCCTTGGGGCGACTAAGATTTCTTGCTGAAAATGAGAATGTATCACCTCTCACTCAATGCATATTGCCTGTCTGGAGTGAACGAGCTGGCTTTTAATGACTCAGTTTCTCTGGGGAGAGGCATTTGTGTAGGAAAGGTGGACGGGATAATAGGGATCTCCTCGCACCCAGGCTGAAACGCAGCTGTCTCGCAATAATTCATCTGTCTGGCCTGTTCCTGCTTTTCGTGATAGGCCAGTGGCCTGTTCTAGAGAAACCCTGGCTGTTTTCCCTACCATAAGCACCTACTTAAATGAAGGACTGGCTTCTTTAATCAAGTGTTATTTCTCAGATACTACTTTTATGAGGTTGAGAGTGTGTTTCTGCTTGCACAGTAACAGCACTTGGCTTACATGTTTCCTTTCCTACAGCCTGCATTAAAATAGTCAGACTGTGATTATCGTAAATGTTTTCATTTTCTCCTTTGATGTAGCACGTTTGGGGAAAAAAAAAATATTGGAGGGGGAAGGAGACAGAGCCAGGGAGGGAGGAGAGGAGGTTTGGCAGGAAAGTGACCTTGCGTGAGAGCGGTAACCATGGAGAAGCTTATCTTTAGGTGGTAGTATCCAAACTCATAAGTAGCCCCTTTTGACTCCTTTGAGCGCTGTTACCCAGACCGTGGGCGCTGCGCGTTCCGGCATGTGAGGCATGTGGCCGTGCGAGGCACCGCCGCGCTGGGAGCGCACAGCCCCACGGAGACGCCGCAGCCCCCAGCCAGCCTCGCTCCACACCCCTGCGGGGAGCAGGGAAGCCAACCTGCTTGGGAAAGGGAGGCTGGTTATGGCATTGCTGGGGTGGTTGAGAGCTGGGAGTGGGAAAGGTTGCGCTGTCTGTCTGTCCTGCAGAGAGGCATGTCTCGGAGATGACCATCAGCAGGGTGGTTATGAGTGTTTGGTCCCCAAACAGCATCGTTTCACAAAAGCAATGCTGTCCTCTTAGCTGCTCTTCCAAAATGATTTGGGACAAATGAAACCCAAATAGCTGGAAGCAGAGCACAGGGATTGGAGGCTCTTGGAGAGCAGAGTCAAAAAAGAGCCTCTGCTCAATCTCCTTTGCATCTTTGGGGGCTTTTAAACCACTGCTCAGAGGGGTTCAAGATGTGCCCAGCTACTGCTCTGCAGGTGCACTTGTGGGTATGTGCGTACAGGAAATGTCACTTACATTCCTGAGTGCTAGGACACAAATACTGAATAATAAAAGTTTTGCACAAATAAAAGGAGACCACAATGCAAAATCTGTTTCTAAATCAATGAGTAACAGGCATTTCAACTGTGATAAGTAATGAGAAACTACATATGTAAGTGTTTTAGATGCCGAGGGTGGAATTAATCTTGTCTAGCTGCAGCTATTCAGAAGTAATGTGTCTGATCTGAACTACTTATCTGGGCTCCTCTTCAGTTAATTGAGAGAGAGAGAGAGAGGTGGGATGGATTACTCTCTGCAGATGCTTATCTTCCTTCACTAACTAGAGGGGGAGCCTACCCAGCTCCTGGCCTCAGAGATGGCTGAAGATAGCCAAGACCAATCCTGCCCCTGCAGTCAGCTGGGTGATTAAGCACCCTGATACTGCTTTGAAAACTTGGCTTTAACTGGTATTGGGAGCTGCTGGAATACATTCCCACCACAAAAGACAGTGGGGGAGTTACGCCAGTCTACTGGGAAGCTCAGGGGAACGCGCAATTAAATGTATCCTCAGTGAAGGCTGAGGATAATTCAAATTCAAATTTCCATCCTTAGTGCAGTGCCAAATGCTGATCTTCCCAAATTTCCATGTACTTCAGCTGCTTTGATTCAGCTCCAAACTGCAGCAGACACTGTCTGCCCTTACTCTGGGGCTAAGAAACGGAGACAAGGAGTCCTAGTGAGGGGTGGAAAAGCAAAGAATTGGTCTTTTGGTAAGAGCAGTGTTCACATCTTCAAAGTTAGGGACATTAGTAAAGTGGTTTGTTTATGGGTGGATGCAAATGGAGACCAGGGAAAGCTCAGAAATGGGATGTGAAGGGTTGGTCACTGTGTCTCTCTGGGAACACCCCATAATTTTGTCTGCAGATTTTTTGCAAGGCTAAGGAGTTT